TTGCTAGAACCAGAACCTGAGCACACCGTGGAAGCTCTGCATATTGTCCATGCCTCCTCACTCACACAGGTGCTAAGTTTTCCCTTTAATAGGAAGGTTTGAATGATCTGGGACCCTAGCACTATCTAGTTCACCAACTTGACATAATTTCAACCTATAATAGACTTCCAAAAATTGTAAAAGGCTTCATGTATAAACTTAAACATTTAAGTAAGTGATAGCATTCTTCATTTCTGAAATTCGTAGGATAGTTCCTATTACCTGAAATTCCTAAAATATCATTTTGAGGGCAGAAGAGGCCAATACATGGCAGGTACATGGCAGTATGAAATAACAGAAAGAATATTAGATTGTTAATCACAAAATAGGTGTCCAGGCAGAAACACCACATACCCCACACTGTGAGTCATCAGATAGCTGGTGATTAACAGTATGGCTGACTGGAAGATCACAGTGGTGTCTGACCACACCTCCATAGTTCCAGGAATCACCTTGGAATTCAATTTGATTAAGGTATGACGACCAATCTGAGAAACAGACGATGGCAATTCATGATGTGGTAGCCCGACATCCACCCTACCCTTCCAGTCTTCATCGTCCTCCCAATTACTCTGTCCCCAGTCACAGCCATCTCTGACCAGTACTTCCTGGTCATCCCATTTCTGATCCCTGACTCTCATCCTCATGTGAAGACCTCCACATTTGTGGTTCATGTGGGACCCTGACTAAAGACGCCCCAAGTTCACCTTTATCTCGATTTCGAGGCCACTCCACCTGTGTCTCATTGTCTCGGATGGTAAGACGGAGGAAAGGTGCTCAGCCCTTCACACACAGTGCTGTGATGAAGGCACCCGTAATGCCCCACCCTGCAGTCAGCTCGCGTTGGACTCCGCAGTGCTATGAATGACTGTGTTCTCAGATCTTGTTTCCACTGCTGCAACGCAAGGCCCAGTGGAGCTGTAATAGGCAGGATTTTCCTAACAAATTTAATCATCCAAACTTGTCATTTTTCTAGGACATATCATGTCCTTGGCATCTTGAGCCACTTTAAATCATATTGATGAGTGGACTCCTCAGAATGGTCCTTATATGACGGGATAAAGCTAATGCCCCTTTCACTGGTCAATGAGAGGGTCTCAAGGTTTGGGGCAGAATGCTGGCCCTTCAGTTAGAGTGTTTCTAAAGACAGGAATGTGGTGAGCTCTGGGCGCATGGTGGTTGGCAAAGCAGATCTCACTCTCACCCCACCCTTCCCAGTGAAGAAGTCTAGCTCCCCAGCCAGATCCATTGGCTCCAGGTAGAACAGCCGAGCTTCCCTGTTTGATTTAATAGATAGTTAAAAATCAACTCTAAATATAGTGGAGTGTAACTGTGTAATGATATGTTTATGTTCAGTGAGGGGGAAAAAAAGGAAGTGAAAAGAGCAACAGTTAACAGTGTCACCTCCTGTTGTGCCCAAACTGTGAGATGCAGAAATTTGATACAGGATGAATAAAATTAAATAGCTGGTCCTTCTCAGCAAATTTGTTTTTTCAATCTTTAGCTGTTCAGTTTGGGAGCACAAGGCTTCAGTTGCCAGTCCTGAATAGAGAACAGAGATCTGGATCCCTGCTGAAGACATGCGCCTGGACTCCCACCCCAACCGACTGCTGTGTGAGGCTGTGCCATTCTGCTGGGGTCATGCTATGAGACCGACTGGAACCCAAGCTTGGACAGTGCACGGCTTAGGTCTGCCACCTCGGCCATCGTCTGTATGCAAAGGATCAGAGACCATTTTAGGTCTAGGCACCATCAGATCCTTGAAATTGCCAGTCAGGGTCCACTAGGAGGCATCTTAAAGTCCCCCAGTCCTAACCAATGTGCTTAGGGCACGTCTATCAGAGATGCCTGAATGGATGCCTATGTTCTAGTCCATGAGAACATGGAAGGAACATCTACTGTATTTAACACACCGTGGTACCACTCTTCCTGCCTACCATATCTCTCCTTAGAGATGCAAAGGAATGAAACACTTTGCTGCTGATGGTCTTCCTCTTCCTCCAGCTCTGTCTCCAGTTCTCTTCAAACTCTTTGCCTTGTCTATCTGATCTGTCTCTAGCTACTCCATTTTCTGGTCTCTAATTCTTTTTCCTTTCTTCCTTTCTTTCTTCTTTTCCTTCTTTCTTTCTTCTTTCTTTCTTTTCTTTTCTCTCTCTCTCTCTCTCTCTCTTTTTCTTTCCTTGAAATTGCCAGTCAGGGTCCACTAGGAGGCATCTTAAAGTCCCCCAGTCCTAACCAATGTGCTTAGGGCACGTCTATCAGAGATGCCTGAATGGATGCCTATGTTCTAGTCCATGAGAACATGGAAGGAACATCTACTGTATTTAACACACCGTGGTACCACTCTTCCTGCCTACCATATCTCTCCTTAGAGATGCAAAGGAATGAAACACTTTGCTGCTGATGGTCTTCCTCTTCCTCCAGCTCTGTCTCCAGTTCTCTTCAAACTCTTTGCCTTGTCTATCTGATCTGTCTCTAGCTACTCCATTTTCTGGTCTCTAATTCTTTTTCCTTTCTTCCTTTCTTTCTTCTTTTCCTTCTTTCTTTCTTCTTTCTTTCTTTTCTTTTCTCTCTCTCTCTCTCTCTCTCTTTTTCTTTTTTTTTTTAAAGAGGTTTTTGCTATGGGGTATGTTCACTTACCAAAGAGTGTGCACCTGCCAGAGAGAGGGAAACAGAAATCGAGAAATCTCCTCCCAGGACAATGGCCACACTACAACCCCTTCTCCTCCATTCTCCTTTTAGGATCTTGGGCGTGCATGTATGTGCACCTGGCATGAGTTTTAAGTTGTCAGATCCAGGACTTGAACCACAGCTGACTATGTGGGAGTGCAGTGATATAACCATTTTGCCCACTGCTGGTTCCTGATCTCTAATTGTTAATCTCCTGTATTGCTCCTTCTTATTCCCTATTAAGAAGACAAACACGGGGCTCTCTTCTGAACATCCCTTGCATTGGTAGTCACCTGAAGTATCGAGGCATTAGATGCTATCCTTATGCAAAACTTCCTGAACCTGTAACAACAAACCAGAATCCTCCCCACCTGAAGTCCGTACTCATATGGTATGTTTCTTACTGGAAATTCTTCTTGGACATAACATAGTAAGTCTCTCAAATGTAACAGACACAAAGCTGAGCTCCCAAGAGCCCTTTCCAACTGTTCCTTTTCCCTGCCATCTCCCCTCTCAGGAAATAGCAACTTTGTTTCCAATTGTCTAGGCCAAAAGCTAGGAAGTCATCCTGGAGTCCTCTCCCTGTCACACCCATTCTTCCATCTGAACCCTTTACCTTCATACTTCACTCAGAGTTTCATGAGATTTTTCTCTTCCATTGACACCACTGTCATCAAGACCACTCCCACCTCTCAACTAAACATGGCGAGGGTGGTTTCAGGGTTAGAAGGAGGACAAGAGTGGCCAGCCTGCAACACTTCCTGTATCCATGAACTTTGCAATGTGTTTTGGGATTTGTTGTAACAAAGATAAAATTTACTCACTACACTTGACTGAAATAAACTTGCAACTTTCTCTATGTGGGTTAAATTCTGTACATAAGCTTCATTTCACTTTTTTTTTTTTTTTTTTTTTTTTTTTTTTTTTTTTTTTTTTTTTTTGAGACTGCAATTGCATGTGTGTGAACCCAAGGTAGTCTGCTGGAGACACAGCTGTCTCAACTGAGGCCATTCTAGATAAACCTGTGACTAACAAGCAAAATATGAGAATTACCCCCACTGAGGTCAGCAGAGGGGCCCCACATGACCTAGAGCTGACAGTAGACTCCTTTGTGAACTAGCTTCAGCAAACAAGGAAGACTACACTGCTGGTTTTGTAGAGCAACAGTGAGTGCTTATTTTCCCAGGCCACTGAGTTTCTGGGTGGTTTCTTATGCAGCAATAATTAGTTGATGCACCCTACCCCAAATGGTCTTCTTGTGTCTTCTCTTCCTCACTCCACAAGTGGAACAAATTTAGTAAAGTTTAATTAACTTCATCCTGCTCTTCTCCAAAAACCAATGCCTCCACTTCTCACTTGGAATGAAAGACCAAGTGTTTTAATGGCCTTTAACACTAGCCCTACCTGCACCCACCAACCAGCCACTGTTCCGAGTTATCCGCCCTTTCCTGCCATCAGTGCGCAGTCACTATTCATCAGATTCTATAAGGATCTTACAACCTCGGGGTCTCAGTATTCGCTGTCTCCTCTTCCTATGGTGCCTTTCCCCAAGTATATGATAACTCAGCCTCTACTTCTTCAGCCTCTTAGCAAGAACATTTTGGGCAGTTGCAATAAGTAGCAACAGCTAACTCCAGAAACTCAGTTGCATAAAACAGTGAACAGTCATTGCTACTCTACAAGTCAGCAGTGTAGATTCCCTGACTTGCTCGGATACCTACAGTGGTCTACTCTCAGCCATAGGACAGGTCAACATCTCTGCTCACCTTAGTTGAGGTGGTTCTGGAACACTGACTAGTTTGTCAGCATCCTATCTAAAGGTAAATACCCCTTCTTACTCCAATGTCTTCTATCTTCTTTCCCTGACTTACATTTCCCTTCTTTACTTTCACTCTTCTAACACACATTTTTCTTCTGATCACTCTGGGTATAGTCCCGAACACTCAGTCAAAGCAGGAAGCTTTGAGTTTCACTCCTTGCTTCATCCTACCACAGCTTTTGGCTTACAGTGGAAATTCTACAAGGACCTGTGAAATGGTGAGTTTTTAAATGAGTATGCAGTTGGAGCACTACAGTCCTATACATATTATCATCAACAAATATTTTTTTCATTTTTTAGCTTTCATTATTTAACTACAAATGTCCTCCTAACTCTGAAGCACAGTATTTTGCATTTGGTGCTTAATTTTCTTTTAACACATTGTATTATAATCATATGCAAATTCAGTTTTAAATTCTACGTACTTTTCTAAAAATTCCCTTCCTGGAGCTTTCAGCCGATAGATGTGTGAAGATACTTTATAGCAAGTTCTTACATAGTTTTCCTCTACAGGTTGTTTCTGGTTGTGCTAGACTTGTTTTATCAATGAGGAGCTAAGCTCTTGTGTTCTGTATCTCCCAAGGTGTGTTGAGCAGTGCTGACTGGTAGAATTCTCTTTTATATCCAGCATCAAAAGCTGTAATGACAGGTAAGAGTCGTGAAAGGAAACAATGAATAACAGGAACATTACTATGACTTGAAGGATTCATTCTGTATTTTTACCTAGAATTTTATTGATATGTAAAAGACATGTTAATCAGACATATAAATATTAAACATCAAATATGCTGAAGTTCAGAGAGTTCAATAGATTGAATGGTGGGACAAAACTAGTGATGAAATGTAACAAGAACAGCATGAAATTCAACATTTCAGCTGAAGCAATTAATAGTAATTGGGGGAAAAGACCAGGGAATGCCAGAGTTGTTAACTCAATGTAGGAAAATAAAAAAGGCCCCTGGCCTCAGGGATTTCAAGATCAGAAGTATCACAAGTGTGAAGTAACTGTTGCAGAAGAAGCAGTAAACACCATTAGGAAACAACATAATTCAGAACAAAAGACAAAATAATTTCGTGTCAGTGAAACCACATCTGGAGCATTCTGTGTAATTATGGTTGGTGCTTTTTAAGATGTTGAAAAACTGAAACACATTGCAAGATGGGGAGAGAACTATGAGATGGTTTGAGAACTAGGTCACTGGTGGGTTTGTTAAGTAATTTGGGGAAGTACTGCATTGTCTGAAGAAGAGAAATAAAATCAATTTTTCAAGTATATGAAAAATAAAAAGACATTCAAGGCATGTACTAAGGAAAGAAATACTACAGAAGAAGATAGAAGAGACGACTGTCCTGTCTGTTGTCATAAGAAGGCACAGCCAACCTGCTGGACTTATGAGATGGGCAGGCTCATGGAAACAGGGACTCCTTCCATTGTTAACTTAAGTCTAGAGGAGTTTTATTTCTCCCTGGTGAGTTGCACAAAGTGGCGAATTCTGAAGAGTAGGGCAGACTGAGCAAAAACAATCTGGGGTCCCCTCCTAGTACTGGTACACATGATTTAGGGTGTTTTAGTGGGACTATTTAGAAAAAGCCAAGATGACTGGCCCACATGTTGTGGAACGTGCTGTAGTTTCAGCAAAAGGTCCAATACCAATTGTGTGCATCGAAGGGAAACTCATGATACAGTGGACCCTGAGGTGGACTGTGCATGAGACTGATGGTTCTGATTCTCGTCAAAACTGGTCGACATCATTTTCAAATTTCTCACATGTAAAATGGGAAAGAGGTGGGTAGTTATCAGTCCTATATTTATGGAGTTCTGTGAATTACAGGTAGGTTCACATGTGTACATAGACTTAATAAAGTAGGCATAGCAGAGTAGACTCTGAGGCTGTGCTGCACACACATATGTAATGATTACCATGTTTCTAATTTTGTTAGAGTATTAGACAGGTAGATCAGGAAAAAGGATGGATCTTAATTTCAACAAAGGATTTTTTGTAAGATATCTAGTGATATTTTGGTCTAAATACAGGCAATCCATCTGGGTGATGGAAAACTCAGAAGGATTTATTATTGGATGAAGGGTACTGCCCCAGAGGTGGATTAATAGATCAATGCCAACCTAGATAAAGCTGTTTAATGACAGAGCTGTGTCCTCAAACCCTGCTCTGGGTCACAAAAAGATCAAAACAGATAGAAATAAATCTAAAAAGTTAAGTTTAATATGGGGAGAGTATGAATCAGGTTTTATACTTGATTCTAAGAAAGTAACTTAAGCTCTGAAATGTGAAGATATGGGTCAATGTTAAAATGTGGTGGTACCCAAGGGACCGACAGGTGGTATAATGGTTACGTTGCTGGACTTCTATATATTTGGCCATAGTGTGAGTCCAGGACCTGGCAGCTTAAAACTCATGCCAGCTGTGTGTGCGTGCATGCCCAAAATCCCAAGAGGAGAATGAAGGATTGTGGAGTGGCCATCCCCCTAGGGAAGGTGATTTCTTGTTTACTGTCTTTGTGTCTCTCTGGCAAGTGCATGCGCCCTACAGCAAAAATCTCTTAAGAAAAAAATAAGGTACCCAAGAAAGACAATTTGTTCTTAGGATACATTATTGGAAGGAAAGTAAATTCGGCTTTGCACAGATTAGGTTCCATGGCCACGCCTGAGCATCTCAATTTAGAATGATTTTTGTCCAATATAAACAACATGAGCACACTCTGAGAATCAGATTGGCCAAATGCAAGCCAGAAAACACTAGCATGAAGAATAGGTGGGGTGGGGGTGGACCACTTACCCTCAAGTAAACCCTGAAAGACCAGGAAATAGCACAAGCACTATAATGTCTCCCAGAATCTAGGTAGTGTGCTGCCCTTCCATGGCTAGTCTCTCTTCCAGGTTGTTCTCTTAAGGTATTGATATATTTTAATCAAGATTTGGGGTTCACTATTTCTGATTTTTCAAGAATAAGTATCTGAACATGACCATACATATACATATGCACACATGCACATGCGCACACACACACACACACACACACACAACATATAATCTCCTCTAAAACTAGCAATGACTTTCAATCAAATGTTCATCTTAACTTAAACTTAGGAAAGAAGTGTTCTTTTAAGGAGATGATGAGCCAGAGAAATGTAGTTCTGTCTCCTGTCAAGAGACCCTTCCAAAGTGCTATTCACAACTGTTTAAATCCATTCCAGAAGAGGGTCTTTGATCTAGATTTAAGTACCTAAGGGTCCTTTGCATAGTTTTCCCAGAACAAAGGACCAGTCTGCATCAAAGGTAAATATAGTCCTCCACCTGGTAGGAAATATAAAACTGATTGCAAATTTTAGAGACAGTGTCTGTCTTTCATCTAGAGTTGAAAATTTATGAAGTTCATTATCGTCCAGGGTCACCTTGTCATCCTCAGTCAGTGTAGAGGAAAGAGCACTGGCCACACAGCAGGCGAGCTCAACACCTCTTAAGCTTGTGAACCCATCAGTGTTGGTGCCTCTGGACAGTATAGCAGCAGCTCTGCTCCCCATTTGTGACCTCCATCTGAGTGGCTGGTCTAGGGAAGTGGAAGCGAGCAGGTCAACTTAAACATGGATGTACTTGAACATCCTCCCAAACTGTGTTCTGAACTAGGACTTGACATCTGATAAATATAGGGGAGACACCTGATGAGGTAGGAGGTGACTGGAACTGAAGATAATCTAGCAGATCAAGAGAGGAAGATCTGGAAGAGATGATGATACCGGTTTTGGAAATGCTATGGTTGAGGCTAAAACATCCAGAGGTAAGAATACAGGACTGGAGCTCAGGAAACAGGACTTACATCCCATTGCTTGATTCTTTGCTTTAGATACTTCAGTATTCCTGGTTCAAATTCTGAAATGAGTGATGGGGCACCATAGCTGGCCTTTTTAGCACCGGCTGCCTCTCAGATTAGGGATATATGGTGTTGGTCCATTTCCTGGATGATATAAGTGATAGAAATCACATGATGTTATTCTTGTTGGGGTTGATAGAGAGAACCCTGGTGTCTCTAGACCTTCTCAGTGGAATTCCACAGGGATGGCTCTGGTTATGACAAAGAAGCTAGTTCAACATTCATGACTGTTGAATATAAAACCTTCTCAAAACGGTAAATGGCAGTTAAGATACTTAGACCTGCTAGTAAAATAAGCCTTCATTTTCTCTGTTTGGATTATCATTGTGTAATAACACATTGTTTCTTTTTTTCTCTACAACTGATTAAATGAGGAAGTGATATTAGATTTCTCCAGTTGGGTTTGGAGGTTTTGTTCTATTAGCTGCCTTCATGCAGTATTACAGGTCTTTGGTATATATCAGATTCTGAATCTTTTTCTTTTTTTTTTCTTTCTATCATCACTTACTTCACCCCTAGGACTCCCTTAGCACCTGACTAGATCTTTTTTTTAGTTTGTTTTATTTTACTCCCAGAGAGTGTATGTGCTTGCCAGCATGATAGAAACAGAGAGAGGAAAAGTAAGAAATTATCCCCCAAAGAGGATGGCCATACTGCAATCTCTTCTCCATTCTCCTCTGGGGATTTTGGGCACACAGGCACACATGATTTTTAAGTTGATGAGTTCAAGATTCAAACCACAGTCAATCATGTGGGAGTCCAAGCCGCGAAGCCACCTGCTGGTCCCAAAGTCTACCTAATGCTTATGATTACGTGTGGGTGATCATGATGACCGATCGGAAAAAAAGGACCCCAGACCTCAGCTAGGCGCTGTGAAAGAAAAAGAACTCGCTACTCTTTAGATGCAGGATGACACCAACATCCAATCAACTCCCTTTGCCCCATTAATCCCTGCTTTGCAGAATATGGGATACTTTGACATCTAACGTCTCATTTTGCCCCATAAGGAAAAGTGAGGTAGAATATCGGCTCCATTGTGCAGATTAGAAAACTAAGGTCCAAAAACTAAGGTAACCCAACAAAGCTAGATATCTAGAAAATGCAGGAACTGGGAGTTACATCCGCTGCGTCTTAACTCCCTGCCCCTCTCTGTTCTACTTTGCAGCCTATTATGTTAAGAATAAGAGACAAAGACATTGGGGGGATTAAAATACATCTATGTCCCCAGCTATGTGCCAAGTGCTGTGCTGGGTGCTTTACATTTCTGCATCAGTCAATCCTTGCCAAATCTCATGGCTATTTCTATGCCCGTATTAGAGATACAGGGAATGAAGACTCAAAGAGACTAAACAAGTCTCCTGAGGGCATATTGCAGGGTCAGGGTCGAGACTCAGCCCCAGCCTTGCCTCCTGCTTCGCTGTGCCCCACCTGCCCAGGAGGCAGTGAAGATCAACAATGCCCAGCAAGTGGTTCCAAGCAAAAGGGCTGTGGGATTCCAAGGAGTCCCCTTTCCTCCTGGGGGCAGACTGGGCAGACATCCCAGACAAAATGGGCTTGACCCTGGCAGCCATCCAGGCCTGACAAATATGTATCCTGGGGAGTCAGTGCTTAGAGATAATAGACACAATCATTCCTTATTTCCTCTGCTGGATGACTGCAAGAACAAGGGCTCATAGAGAGACTTCACCTAGAGCTCACGCTGGGAAAGCAGGACGAGTCACGAGGAGTGCTTGAGGCAGGTGCATGTGACAGTCTTCATGTCTTTGGAGCAGGGTGGTCAGCACCTGTCCTCCGCTGACCACCTTCCACTGAGTTCCAGCACTGGCCCAAAGTCCCTGAGAACAGTGCTCCTAATATCAAGGCCACTGACTTTAATTAATTAATTGAAAAATGAGCCTTGATATCTCTCTCTCCCCTCCCGTTTTTACCATATCAAGCCACTTGCTTCCTAGTGGCTTCTGGGTTGTCACCACACCAGCTCTGTGATTCACAAGAGTCTCACTTTGCGTACAGCAGCGACACCTATATGGGGAGGCGTGGGGGTAGGGAGCCTGTGTGTTTCACCATTTCCATCTAGATGAGGAACAGACAAAGAGATAATTATAAACTGTTTCTCTTATTGTTGCACTCGCAGTAGGCCTGTGCATCTCTCTCCCGCTCCCTCGCTCGCTCTCCTTTTTTTTTTTTTTTTTTTTCTTACACAAAAATTAA